CTTACACCAGGTACCTACTTTACTGCTAGGCGAACAGGGACTAATGGGGGCTAGGAAGTATGTCCAAACAACTTCCACCGGCTCGGGAATCGAACCCGTGACATCTCGCTTGTGAGGCAAGAACGGTACCGCTTCTACCACCGATCCCCCAGTGAAGTGGACTGTATATTGCGTAGAGCTGGACTTGACCCCAACTCTCTCGCCCACACTTGGCTGAGTTGGTTCTGTGTATTAATTACCTGTTACCTGGCGAGATACCTGGCCCGTCACCACCATCACATCACACTGGGAAAAAAATAATTTGTTCATCCTATGTTTGTGAATTTGTATATATGGCGGGTTTGTTTTATTTTATATAAGTAATGAATTAAACTTACCGATAAAATTAAAAAAAATAATAAATGGCTGGATATTTATTAGTTGAGGTGTTGGGGCACACGTAATCCTTCTTGTGTGTCTCCGCCTTCCCTCACACCTCATACTACCACTCACACTATCATCTCCCTCATACTTCTTCTTGTCCCTCATATGTCGTGATTACCTGGTTCATGTTCCCTTCTCTTCATCATCCTCCTCATTCTCATCCGTCTCATTTGCTTCCTCATTCTCATCCGCCTCACTCATATGTTCTATATGCATTCTCTCAGTCATTCTCCTCCGGCCGCTCCAACACGTTCACACCATCCCAGGAATTCCATTATTTGCCTTACCAGCTGGCCCTCACACACACACACACACACTTAACTATTTTTATTTCCTCTCCACTTTTTACCTCGCCGCGTATTTCAGCGTGAGTAGTTGTGACGTCACTTGTATATCGTTCTTCTTTTGTTTATGGATTTTATTTATATTTTTATTTTCGATTCGTATTTTTTTTTTTTAAGTTTTCACGAATGATATTTTTTTTATTGACATTTTATTTAGGGGGAGTTTGATTAGGGCCATTGAGTATATTAAGGCGTCGAGCTGTAACAGGATATAACATTGATATCTGAACGTCTTAGCGAGAGGAAATACCATATTGATTTAGGGATCACTGAGGCAAAAGGTGAAGGTGGTGGGTGTCAAGGTTAGGTTAGGTGTAGTTTGGGGTGGTGATCTATTTTGTCCAATAGTGTACAACGCCTCTCTCCCCTTCCTTTACTCCACCCCTTTCTTCCCATTCTCTCCCCTTCCTTTACTCCTTCACCCCTTTCCTTCCCCTTCTCTCCCCTTTCCTTCCCCTTCTCTCCCCTTTCCTTCCCCTTCTCTCCCCTTTCCTTCCCATTCTCTCCCCTTTCCTTCCCATTCTCTCCCCTTCCTTCCCCTTCTCTCCCCTTCCCTCCCCGTGAAAGAAAGATTACCTATATGGAATAATTAATAAAACTAACGACAAGGAATAGACTTAATAAATATATCGGTAATATAGAGAAATATAGTGCAGGTAGGGATAATATTGGCTCGCCTGTGGGACTGTTGGATTATAGGAGTATCATAGCCCTGCCCTACACACTGACACCTTCACACACACACACACACACACACACACACACACACACACACACACACAGGTCTGTATTATTGGAGAAACACAGACCACGGCCTCGGCTGCCAACAAGCTCAATATATAGCATTACCGTCCATTTGACACCTCTAGTCTCTCTCCCCTCTCCTCCCCCACCACCCGTGTCACCATCCTCCCTCCCAGCAATTGAATGACACACTCCACGGTCCGTCTCTCCTAACTGTCACGCTCCCATTTTCACTCATCACGTGGCATTTTTTCCACCTTCACTTTAGACGTGTTTGCTTCTGTACAATTATACCTGGGCACACACACACACACACACATGACCTCAGTACCAATAAAGGTTAAATAATTAGGAGCTTGTGTGACACTCATCCATCCAACAGTTCTCGAGGCGACATCTTACCCGGTATTGTCGCCCAACTCCCGTGTGTGTGTGTGTGTGTGTGTGTGTGTGTGTGTCAGTATCTCCTTCAGGATAGTCTCGTTCTCGCTTTGTTTTAGTCTCTGCCGAGTGTCCTTGGTGCCGCCGCTGGTGTCCTTTGTTATATGTAAGTAAAACACTGAGGAGCAAATACCCCCTCTTGACGCTGAAGGTTACCTGTGAGGTTTTGTGCGAGGTTTTCCTGTGGTGGAGGTTGTCGGTTTAACCCCCCCCCCTTCCCGACCTCACCTCCCACCCCTCCCTCCCCACCCCCTAATTGCTCATGTTCTGTACGGTCACCAGCCAATCACACCTGTTCTTCCAGTGTGTATGTGAGAATCTTGCTCCTGTCTTTGTCGGTGTTGTGGGCTCAAGCAGAGATAAAGCCAACCAGGTGAGGTCGAATACCCCCCTCCTCCCCCCACCCCCCACCTCCCTCCCCCCCCCCTCCTCCCTCCTCCTCCCTCCCCACCCCCCCAAAAAAAGAAATAGCGGAAGTAGGAATTATTGTTTTGTGTGTGTGACGGTGGACAGATCTCGTTAATTATTTCCGGTACTGTAGGTGAATCAGAACCCAGGACGGTGTGTGTAGATAACTTTTATCATGTTTACACCGGATCCGTGACCTTCTTCTTATTATTATTCTTCTTATTCCGTTTTTTCCTTCTTCTTTTTCTTCTTAATACAAACGTACTCTTTCCTTACCCTCGTTTTGTTTCCTTGTAGTTTATGAATACATCAACATACACACACGCATACATGACCAGACGCACGCACACCACCACCTTTGTAAACATCCATCTCTCTATAGCCAGGCAAGGAAACATATTTTTTATAACATGTGGTGGTGGTTGTTGATTTATTACTTCGTGTCAACATCATCTTGGGTCTTGAAATGCCGTATTGTGTTGTGTCGGGTTGTGTTCTGTTCTGCCGTATTGTGTTGTGTCGGGTTGTGTTCTGTTCTGCCATATTGTGTTGTTTTGTGTTCTGTTGTATTTCATTGTATTATACTGTGTCGTGTTGGACTAGTAACATGTGGTAGTTTTTACGGTTTGGCGTTGTGTTCCTTGTACTTAAGTCTATTTGATATAAAGCTCCATTGATCATAGTGATTAATAGTAGTTTTTGTTTAGAACTGAGAGGCTACTGTTCTTTTATCTCTCTCTCTCTCTCTCTCTCTCTCTCTCTCTCTCTCTCTCTCTCTCTCTCTCTCTCTCTCAGCCAGGCGTGTTCTGAAGATAGCTCTTCCTCTTGTTAACTGAGGCATCTAAATTATGTTATCTATGTGTTAATTATAAAATTTATAAATCTTATGTGTTTGTATGGGTATTTCTGTGTGTGTGTGTGTGCGTGTGTGTGCGTATATATGAGTGTGTGAACATGTAATCGTCTGTGTACGTTTCTGTATAATCCCATAAACAATTGTGTATTGTGAAGGAATTCCTATGGTGAAGGTCACTGTATGTCTGTCTGTCGTGTAGTGAAACGTATACCACTCATATCTCCCTGTGTGTGTGTGTGTGTGTGTGTGTGTGTGGTGTAGGCGTGGTGTGTTAGCCTTGAGTGTAGTGACGTGGCGGTATATAACTGGTGGATTGAGGTTGTTAAACTCCTCCCCACCACCTTTGGAGTGAGTGTGGTGAGTGTGTGGTGAGTGTGGAATCAGTTAGTGGTGTCTGGTGATGGCGCCCTGACCCATCCACCCACCCTCCCTACCTCGCTATGGTCACCAGATTCTTCAAGTTCTCCCGACCCCCATGTAACCGGCAAGCGTCTACGGATGTGTACGTGTTCGTGTGTGTTTTTTTTTAGTGGTAAACGTTTCTACCGGGTGATGGGAGAAGTGTCGTGTGATCGTTTGTCTCTGTGAATGTAAATAAACTCGCTAACTATACGTGATTTATAAGTGTTTCAGTGTAAAATAATCCCAGTGGTCGCTTAAGCTATAGATACATAGTGTGTGTGTGTGTGTGTGTGTGTGTGTGTGTGTGTGTGTGTTTTACCCGGTGTATTGTGATTATTCGTGGCAGATAGTCGTGTCTGTGTCTCAGATACAAGGATGTGGACATAAATTAACGCGTCGTGACTTGTGTGTGCATTGTGCGTGATGTTGGTGTGTGTCAGCTTCGTCATCCCTGTGTGTGTGTGTGTGTGTGGGGCCAACTCCTTATGTTCTTATGTGTCCGTCCGTCCGTCCGTAGTTGTGTTTGTCCCGTCCATACATACACATTCACCCATCATGTATATCCCTCTGTGTATAATCCTGTGTACGTATACTCCTCGATGTATACCTGGATGTGTGTCGTGCTCTGTGTATACATGGTCGTGTGTATGGGTGTCTGATGTTACTCCTCTGTGTCTTCCCGTGTTCATGCATGACGCAGACTTGTACAAGGGAGTATGTTAGTATACTACCCGAACCGACATGGTGATCCCTGAGGTGTGTGTGTGTGTGTGTGTGTGTGTGTGTGTGTGTGTGTGTGTGTGTGGTGAATCATGCCTGAATCATTTTCCGTGTGTGTGGGCGTGTTAGCTGGAGAGAATCATTCGTTAGGGAAAGTGTGTCACGTGTGTTACCTGAATGTCAGTCGGTCTCGGTAAATGGTTAGCCTGTCAGGTAGAAAGTGTGGTATGGTGTATGTCGGGTATGGTGTATGTCGTGTATGGTGTATGTGGTATGAAGCAGCGTATGATGTATTGTGTGGTTTAGTCGACCTATATTCGTGGATGAGTACTATGCTGTATGAGGTGGATAGTGTATGGTGGGTTGTTGAGTGTGTATAGGCAACTAGAGTGTGATGAGGAAGAGAGACGTGTGGTGTATGATGCAGGTCTCTGGTAGGATGTTGTGATGACCTATGATGACCTTCAGGTGTTGCAAGTGACCCGCATGTGTTGATGTTTTGTAAATTGAAAACTTCAATGTTGTGGCGTTCGTCTTTTGTTTCCGTGTGTGTGTGTGTGTGTGTGTGTGTGTGTGTGTGTGTGTGTGTGTGTGTGTGTGTATTGTGTTGGTGCGTATTGTGTGTGTGTAGCTTCACAGTTCTGATGGTGCGGGTATTTCAGGTGCGGTCATGGCGGCGTGGTGGGCGGGGTGGGCGGTGCAGGCGGCGGCAGCGTAACGGGGAGCGGGTGGCGCGCCGCCCCGAAGTCGGGGGGCGCAGCTTCCGGACCCGGGTCGCCGCCTGCCATGTCCAAAGGCCGCACGCGAGGACCCACCTCGACAGCGGCTAACGGCGGCGGCACCACCACCACCAGCGCCTCCCCCATCACCACCACCACCGTTACGCCCCCCGTCACCGCCACCTCCAACATGAACGGAGAGCGGCGCTCTGGCGTTGAAGTAGTGACGCCTTCCAGCCGTCGGCCCGTCCGTACTTCTGCCACCTTCACCTCTAGCATCAAGGGCCTCTTGCAGCAGCGGGAGGACGCGGGCGGAGGTGTTGGTGTCTTCTCGACCCTGCGGCGCTCTATGCCGCGCTCTAGGTCGGCATCTTCACACGCGGAAGGGCGCCCTGGCCAGGAAGAGACTTCGGGGGGACGCCGCCCTGGACTCCCCCCTTTGCGGACTCCTGGGGGCCCCGCACCTCGTGGTCGACGAACACTCTCTAATATGGCCTCAAAGAGGCGCTCAGTCATCCTGGAGGAGGACAAAGAGGCCCTGAACGGTGAAGAAGCCACTGGTCCACCGCCCCCTGCTCCGGGCGTCGGTGGGAGTCGGCGACATTCACCCCGGGCGAGGCGCTCCCAAAGTGTGCAGGAGGAGCGCCAGTCACCGGCCAGGGAACCCGGCATCACCAAACAATATAGTGTAGATGAACGTGTGTCAAAACCTAATAAATCTTCCCCCGGAGACGATTCCCCGAGAACTGACGAAGAACATACCGAGGGCGTCTCGAAAGAGGGGGGAGAAAGAACCCGAGAGGCTGGTACTCTAACAGAAAAAGAGAAAGTTGAGTGTGAACGTGATGAAAAAGACAAAGATGAACGTGAGGAAGAGGAGCGACGTGCTCCCGTAGATGAGGAGGAAGCGGAGGAAGCGGTGGATAAGTCCACGGATGGCCGCTTCCTCAAGTTTGACCACGAGATCGGTCGTGGCTCCTTCAAGACGGTGTACCGCGGCCTGGACACCGATACTGGCGTCGACGTGGCCTGGTGCGAGCTCTTGGTGAGTACCCTTGTTCTTTGTTCTCGCTTATATAAACATGTGATGGTAGGTGTACTGTTCTACGCTCACTCGTCTCCAGGTATGTTTTGTTCTCAACCTCATTTATTCAGTTATTCCATTATTAATACTTTTCTTCCAGTCAGATGATCGAAGTGTGTAATTGGAAGTCAGGGTTAAGCAAAGGCATTATAACTAGGGTATTTAAACTATCTAACCAGAAGCGAACATGTAGCAATAGTTCTATACTCAAACATATTTAGATTTAGGCGGGGAATAGGTCAACAATACAGTAGTTTGGAATGAGTTGCAGAAGAGTGGACCAACTAACCAAACCCTATCATTAACTCTTGACTCGCTGGGGAGCTTCACATACAGGTTGGACGGATTTGTGAGCGATAGAGGTTGGGTGTAAACGGGACTGCCTATAGCATGGAATAAAACTGCGTGTAGGATATATTAAGGACGACGACGACACTCCAGGTTTGTCTCCTGTCGTGGCCAAAGTCTCCTCCAACTGACAGCCACATCCTATTTCATTATGAGAATCGAGTAAGGTCGGCATGGGGGTGATATACCAAGCTTATAATATATGCCTTTCAGTGAGATATCAAAGTGAGTGCGGGGTGACAGCAGTGTGATGCAATTTCCTATTCTTATCTGTGAGGGTCGATGGGTAGCATTAGGTCACGGTATAGTTCACCCGGCGACCGTCTGAGACATCTACTAACTTGCTTACTGTACACTGCCCCACCACCTGGAATCACACGTCATTTCCTCCAGCGTTTCCCGTTTTTTTTTTCTTTCAACCCCCCCAAAATAATCTTGTCCTTAAAGTTTTCTAAAAGATCGAGGAGTTGGTTAAAAATATTCACTAAAATAATACGAGGATAAGATAGATGTTGTAGGATTCTGACACTACTGACATCGTTAGTGTCGGGGGGGGGGGCTGCTTCTGTTGCATCTGCTGGCTTTGTCCAACACCAAGACTGATCACTCTCACTTACGGACTAGGGAACACTTTTCGACTTGGGAGGGGGGGTTTTGAGAGTATGGTGATGCGGTATGTTAGGTTAGTACATTGATGTGTGTAGGAAGACAGTGATTGTGACTCTCTCTCTCTCTCTCTCTCTCTCTCTCTCTCTCTCTCTCTCTCTCTCTCTCTCGTTGCACTACAGGCTTAAAAAGCTTCTTCACTTGAGAGTGTCTGTCTGTCGTCACTTCACGGATGAGGAGGCGACACAAGGGAGGATCACCTGCTCATTACTCCACACCTCTTCCCCCAGCTTATTTCACCTGACCATTATATCCCATCCCCCCAGCATATGTCACCTGCTGACTATATATATATATACTCTCTTCCCTCCCTAAGCTTATTTCACCTGATTAAGCACCCTAACGCTACCTGGTGAGGTTAACTTATGGAGTATTGTCATTATTGCTGCTGTTATTTACACACCCATAGCGGCAGGTCAGGTCAGGTCAGGTCAGATTAGATTAGATTAGGTTAGATCAGATCAGGTTAGGTTAGATACAATAGACCACAACCATTAAATTAGACCACTGGAACCCATGTAATACAGTGTAGGTCCCACAACCCATGAGATAAATGGTCCTCAAGTTTAGGGCCAGACAGCCATACGTGATGACAGGTTAGATAATTAATCATTAAGTACTTGGTGGACAACGATGGGCCAACACAGCACACACTGGCCGTCATAACTCCTCTTTAGGATGAAGGTTATCTCATCGTGTTCATCTTCTGTTCTGACAATGATGAACACATGTTAAGTTTAGTGATTGATATCAAGTGTAGTTAGTTAGTTAGTTACGGGGTGATGACCAGTGTGTTGGGAGGAGCCGAGGTGAGCGGGTGGCACTACTGACGGTGATAATCTCCGGCTGTGGCTGATGGGTTTCATGAGACACATCATATAAGTTACTATGTATTTAAATATTTACCTTTTATTGGTATTTTTTAAGCTTCTACAGTATTTTTAGGCCACAAATAGCGGAGACAATGATACCGTAAGACGAAATACACGCGGACCTCTATACCTCACCAGTTAGGGATCGAACCCAGGACCTCCACTTAGGAACATTACCACGGCACCACAATGACATCAAAAAGCTCACCTGGACTTTGTTGTTTTTTCCACACACAGTCTTGCTCCTTCGTCTAACCACCCAAACTAAAGGTTCCGGGTTCGAATCTTGGCAAGTATGTATATGTTTGCAAAAGGCGCCACGTTTTTCAATCCCAACTACCATGTACGTATACTAACTAGAAAAAGTTGGTGTGGGCGAGGGAAGGTTAGGTTAAGTTTTTCTGAAGGAACTAGTTTATACCGCCCTGGAATTTATAGCTGGTAGAAATTCGTATTTGAAGTGTACTGATGTGTGTGTGTGTATGTATAATATATGTATGTGTACTGGTATTTGTGTGTGTGTATTGGTGAGAGAATCATTTGGGTGAGGCATGGGGTGTGACGAAGGCTGCAGTTAATCATTCGGTAACCTTGGCGGTGGTCAGGTGAGTGCTAGCTAGACTCTCTCACCCATCTCTCTCTCTCTCTGGTAAATAATACAGTTATACTCAGGTTGCCATGGTTGATTGTCGGCGGCCCCGTGTTCGTCTACCTGGCCCGGGTGTTGTAGACCAGCGTTCATGTACTGTAGAATGTTTCAGGTGAATATTTTGTGGTTGAGGTGCGTGTAGGTTTCATTATAGATGTGTGTGTGTGGCAAAGATATAATGGGTATAGAATCACACACACGTAAACGTTGTAGAATATTAACAAACTAAGCAACTGAATAAGGTAGTGAAAAATATCGTAACTGGTATTTCACAAACTGGCATTGCTGACGTATTGAATTAAATTGAAACAGTTTATTTAGCAACTAGCAAATGGCGGGAAGTAACGGAGTTGAGAAATACTCTTGTCTTAAGTACACGTGTGTTATAAGACTTAAGTAAATGTGGCATCACCAGCGATTTCGCCAGACCTTCAGCTTACTTCGCCTGAATATTAACCACCTAAACTAATCCCCCCTCGGAGGTACGTTAGAATGCTTAATCTTGGAGTGAAGTACGATAGGGTCAAGTGACACCCCGTAGGCGACTCCGACCCCCTCAACACCTGATATTGTTCCCGCGAGCGATAAACTTGGCTGACCTGTGTCTCGTATTAGCTGGAGAGAGGCGACGACCAGGCGAGAGTGACTCGGGTTAATCCCAAATCCACGTGGGGGTGAGTGAGAGTTGCTGTGCGGATGGTGTGGAGTGAACTGGACACAGGACAGGAGCCCATTAAATGATGTAAATTATTAGGTTATGACACCAGATCACGTTTATAATATATATATATATATATATATATATATATATATATATATATATATATATATATATATATATATATATATATATATATATATATATATATATATACTGTTCTAAGGTGGTTAGCTTAAGTTTGGTGAAATATTAACTAACTGCTAAAGTGATCGCGGTAATTAGTAGAGGAGGAGAGGAGAGTACATAAAACGACTGATAAATGGAGAAATTAAATACTCTGATAATGCTAACAATATAATACTCAATAATAAGAAATAGGAATTTATCTCATCTTAGTAGTGAAGCAGAGAGAGAGAGAGAGAGAGAGAGAGAGAGAGAGAGAGAGAGAGAGAGAGAGAGCGAGCAGTTTGTCCTGAAGTGTATCGTGGTGAGAAACCTTGGAGAGACCTTCACCAGTATTATATGTATTGTATATAGTGTATAGCTCCTGGTGACCACTTAAACCTCGTCACCAAATCACAGAAGGCCAGCGTACACACCACTGTTTCATATATAGAGAGTACTGTACAAGCGTGGTAGAGGGTACACAATGTTACAATGTACAAGTGCGTCATGCGGTAGTAGTGCGTCATGCGGTAATAGTGTGTACGGTTATCAGTTAGAAGGTTGTATCAGTAGTCCCTCGTGTGTGTGTGTGTTATAATTTGTATAATAACTTAGGGGCGACTCATGACTTGACACTTACTACTTGTTGTCGTCGTGTTGTCATTGTTATCATTATTATCATCGTTCTTATCATTGTTATCACCAGTAATTATTACCATCGCTGTGAGCACCTATTCCTACACACCTCAGGACTGCTTGGTGATCATTGAGACTAAACTAACACTTGTACTTTGGGATGTTAATGCTACAAGGTGGAGGTGTTGTGGTGACTAACTGGCTTGCCTTGACTGACACAGAGTGGATCAGCCTATAGCTTACTGGGGCTGAGGAATGACTGGTGTGTACTGGCGGTAACTGGAGAAAGGAGGCGGGGAATGATTGACGGAGTTGGGATAAGGAAGAGAACTAAATGGGGAAACGGCGAGTAAACTGGAAATAATATAATGAGTAGCTGAGGTGGTGGTGGCGGCGGGAGAATTTTCTTTTACCGAGTTTAATAATGCCTGCAGGAGCCACCGAGGTCACAACTGACTTGATTCCTGGGCTATTTGGTCACCTTTACCCCGTAGGATAATGTGACGTGATAGGCGGGTCTAATGTATATAATAGGAGTCATTTGAGAGCGACGTTAAGTGTTAGTATTGATGATGGTTGTAAAGTGTCCTTAGTCCGTACTTGTTGAACTCGCTCCCCCCCACACACTGAGGTAGAGCGAGTGTACCCTGTGTAGAAAAAACCTTTCCAGATAAGACTTTCACTAGAGGCTATAGTATACTTTGATAAGTCTAAAATAATGCACTTTACTGTACAGTATAAGTGGGTATTGTAAACTCTTCCTTGTGCCTTACACCTACTGATGGCCCTCGTCTCTCCACCTACTCATGTTACCACGGTCACTACATTACAGGAACACCGCTCATATTTCCCGGGCTTAAATTAACTGATACTGAGAGGCTGGTACACCGTCCGGGCGTCGTCGTACGTCCGCCAGCGCCATCATGAGGTATCGGGACGGCTCAGTTGGCGCCAGTCTTCTTGT